AATTTCTTGAGAATATAATTTGAGCAAAGTCTTTGTAAGTTCTGCCAACAAACACAAAGTGTGATAAGCTTGCTGTAAACATCAAATTTAGTACACCTTGCACACAGGAATATTATTATTATTTCTAATAACCAAAACCAGCTTTTCAATTTTTTTGGATTCTTGTATCTTTTTATATATATGCTTTTAATAATTAACCACCAATTTATGTAGGCATATATACATGAGCTGTTGGGTTATTCCCCCCCTTTTTTTGTTTTTGGTTGTGATTAAATCACATGGAAATACAAGTCACCATAATTATTAAAGCAATCACTCTACCCTATTTTCATTTCTTATGAAAATCCAGTATGTCGATTATATAAACTTTCAACAATTATATCATAATTCTGTTCTGGTAACGATTGTAAAACATATGGTAAATAACAAAGATTTGAGAAGTCAAAATAAAGATGTGATAATGAAAAACAAGAGATGCATTTTTGAAAGAAATTTCCTCTTACTTCTTATTATTTATAATTAATATTCACAATATCATCTTCTTTTATAATATAGGCTGATTTTCTGTCTGAATAGTACCACTATAATTATCCCCTATCTCACTAAAACTATACTAATTTTTCTAACAAAAAATGTTATTTGTGTAACGAAAGATCCTTTATATTTATATTTATTAAAAAACTCACTAGTTCCTAATATTATTACGTAAAACTAATATTTGAGTGGAGAAATTATGTAGTATCAACATTAATTGCTCTTCTGTCATCTTGAAAGCGATCTTGATTTTAGCCATTCACAAAATATTTTAGATTTTTTCATTTGTTTTCTGTTACCATATGTCAAGTGACAACCCAAATCTACTCATATATATCTACAATTAATTATTAAGAAATTGAATATCTATCTATTTTTATCATTTTTTGTCCACTTGTGTAATATTTACTACACAATTCAATTAAATTTGAATTTATATAAATAAATTCATCAAATAAAATTTAAATTTAATATCTCTAATTAAAATATAAAATTACATATATTATAAAACATTGTCTGAGGTTCAAGACAGTAAGCCATTTCAATTTGTGGTACGCAAACGAAATTTATCATCATGGGTGAAGAGAATTCTTCTCAATATGTTGTCTCAATTTCATTTACAAACTCTTATTTTTGGATCTAATCTTAAATTAATTTTTTTGATAGAGATTCTATTAATCAGATAAAAATAAATTTTCACTCATTATTAAAATGTGATTACACTTTTATCATTTTAAGTTACGAGGATATTTTCCAAGCAAAATTCAATCTCAAGGTTCTATTAAATTCCAAAGTCTAAATCAATCTACAACATAATTAATTGGGAGCTAGTAGCAACTACCAAAATCCTTTCATTTCTTGATGGTGATACATAAATTGTGTCTCTCATTTGTCTACCTAGGCAGGTTCAGTGTGTTAGTTATGATTCACAAAAAAATTTAATAACTTTCGTTCATGTATATGTATTCAAATATTTATTATTTATTTGAGATTGCTAATAAAATTTTTAAATTTTAAATTTTAATTGGTGTGCCTTAATCCTTTTATCAAACTCTGTGACATGGACATCCAACATTTTATATAGTTCAATTAGTGTCAGTTTGAGTTTATCTGAACGAAAAAAAATTAATTTTCTATATGACGAATATTATTAATAATATCAATGACTAGTAGCAGGATATTACTTTAGTCCTACTATGAAGCAACTTAGAGGTATTTTACGCTTGGCGTAGTCACATACGATGAACTATTGGAATACGTTAGTTAAAATATACTTTTTTATTAAAAATAATTATATTACGTGAATAAATTCTTACGTATGTATACATATACTAGTCTTTGCTCACGTGCAACGCACGTGTACCCTATTAATTAATATTCCATTTTTTTTAAATGACACAAGTATAAAATATATAAATGAGGCATAAAGTAGATTTTTTCGAAAAATAATCATAAACTTGAAA